GGGTTTGGGTCAGGAATTATCCCGTGGGAATTGGGTTTGGAGGGGGGGATGGGGCACGGGGAGGTTTGGGAAAAGGTCAGGATCCAGTGAAATTGGGATCCTGCCTCCCTCCCGCAGTGATCCTGATGGGAATCCTCTTGGGAATCAACCCCATTCCCCAAATCCCATTTCCCTCCCAATCCTGGGACACCCACAGCCATTCCCCAATCCCAATTTTCCTGCATTCCTGGCACATCCCCAACCATTCCYCAATCCTATTTACCTTCCATTCCTGGGACATCCCTAGCCATTCCCAAATCCCATTTCCCTGCATCCCTGGGGACACCCACAGCCATTCCCAAATCCCTTTTCCTTCCAATTCCTGGGACACCTCCAGGTGTCCATTCCTAAATCCCATTTCCCTGCATTCCTAGGACAATCCCAGCCAGCTCCAATCCTATTTCCCTCCCATTCCTGGCACATCTCCAGCCATTCCGAAATCCCATTTCCCTCCCATTCCTGACACATCCCCAACCATTCCCCAATCCTATTTCCCTCCCAATCCTGGGACATTCCCCAATCCCATTTTCGTGCATTCCTGGCACATCCCCAGTCATTCCCAAATCCCATTTCCCTCCCATTCCTGAGACATCCCCAGACAGTCCCAATCCCATTTCCCTGCATTCCTAGAACAATCCCAGCCAGCTCCAATCCTATTTCCCTCCCATTCCTGGCACATGCCCAGCCATTCCCAAATCCCATTTCCCTGCGTTCCTGGGACATTCCCAATCCCATTCCCAACCCCATTTCCATCCCATCCCTTTTCCACCCACGGAGCAAACACTGACCCATCACATTGCAGAAAACCACCGATTTTGCATATTTCCCAAAAAAACCCCACAAAATTGCATCTCCCAAAGGAGGAGAATTCGTACCTGGAGGGAGGAGCAGGTGCTGATGACGCTCGTGTCGTACGCGGTGTTGCTGTCGTTGCCATCATCCGRCAGCACCGGGCTCTTCTCCGTCTTCGCCAGCGCCGTCACGCCGGGATTGGGGTTTTTAGGAGACAAATTCACGTCGGTCCCATTCCCAAAAGCTTGGATGGCGTTTCCTGGGAGCGGGAGAGATTCGGGAATGTCGGGAATGGCGGGGTTGGGTTGGAGAGGAGGGAGCGGGGAAGCGCCTTACGGAGACACGGATTTTCGGTGAAATCCTGCAGGAATTTCTCGCATTCCTCTTCCATGTTCCCGCTGCCTTTGCACGA